TTTCTTCCCAAATAATCGAAATATTATTGTCTGATGTTTGCTCGATACTTTTTCTGGAGTAATTTCAATGTCCCAGATAGTTGTTTTGTTTTGATTTTATTGAACTGTTCTACTCTTTCTAGACCAGACCCTCAAACTATTAGAAAGCTAGTGTCTAGAAAGAGGTCCATCCTGGAGTTTGGCAGAGCCCAATTAGAAGAAATGCCTAGGAAAATGTCAACAGACAGACGCCCCCCCCCCCCACACACACACACACCTCCCATCACTGCAAGCACCAGCTCTGTGGATGCAGAGCAATTTTTGCTTGTCCCAGGCAGAGCAGCAGGAGTAGGGAACTCATCAATGGACTAGGAAAAAAGTTATGGAAAATGGAATTAATAACTTCACACTCCAGAATCTGTAAAACTTAGTTCCTCTTTCATCCACAAAAGGCAAAAGCCAGGTGGCTTTTGTTTTCCTGCTCTTGTATTTTTCCCAGAAGATCTCTAGTAGGCAGAGCAAATGTTGGGCTCTCACGTGTTCAGACACACTGCTTCCTGGTGGCAAACACTTGTCCCATTTTTACCCCCAGGTAGCCTTCCCTACCTCTTGTAGTGGTGAGCGATCCAAGTCTGATGCAGCTCTAATGAAGAACAGTGTGTTAACCCTGTGTGGTGGGCAGTCTCGCCCAGGGATGGATGATATACCTATCAAGCAAAATTATCTCTCATGTCAGTGGTTTGTGAATTAATGTGAAGTCCGATTAACATAATGTCAACCCCTGTTAACAGAACTCCAATATTTATAGGAGTAACTGACTTGTGAAGTCTCTTCATTTACAGCCTCTCATTCCCTCAACTATGCCATTGAAAAAGAAAATTGTTTTAGCATAATTTGTTTCTTTAATTTGTTTTTCATTTCCACCGAGACCTTCTAATAACCTTCACAACATAACATTGCCTGTGAATTTCAACAATATTTATAGTGCAGAATGAAAGGTAGTTCTGAAGACTGTCTTGGCTATAGAAAGGAGATGGGTCTTATTGACAGAGCCCCTAAGATCTCACAATATAGAAGTAATTTTTTTTATTATGGGTGGAAGAGGAATGTCAGGGAAGACTGAAAAGTTCAAGCTGTTGAGCACCCCTCTTTTGTCTCTTCTCCCTTTTTATTCCTGAATTATTTTTATCTTCTTTTCCTATCCCCTCACCTCCTCATCTTTCCCTTTCTTTTTGCCTTCTAATCAGATAGGAAACACGACCTGAATTTCCCAGATCACCAAGCATAAATAAAGAAGAATCTCCTGAAGGAAGCACAGCCATCTGTTCTAAGGCTATTGTCAACTGTGAGCTCAGTAACATGTGTATCATTCCAATAACCAGATGCGCTGCTCCCTCCTGAGGCCAGGCGTGAGCTGTGTGCAGTTCTCCAGGGAGGCTCTGCTTTGAGTTACTCTCTATGGCCTATTTAACCTGGGAAGTTCTAAAACTGTAGAGATAACTGCTTTGTGTTTGTTTGCTCATTTGTTTGTTTGGGGGCCACACCCTGCAGTGTTTGGGAGCTACTGACCAGCATAATGCTTTAGGGTCACTCCTGGTAGAGCTTGGAGACCGGTGTGGTGCAGGGCATCAACTAATGCCTCCTGCATGCAACGCATTCATTGTTGAGCATGCTCTCTGATCTGCCTTTCATCCTTAAGGATTGTGCCGCCTAAAAAAATACTTAAAATATACTGAGAAATGAAGTGGCAGGGGGTGGGGAATCTACTGGAATTCCTTTCTCCCAATTTTCTTAACATAAAATATTCATAGATTTGGAGACAGGCAAGAAGGAATGTGCCAAAAAATATGTTGGTTGGGACCAATAACTAGACTTCCAAGACCTCCAGAACCTCAAAGAAACCCCTGACATATGACTCAGACACTGCCAGTGGGGTCTCTCGCTTGGGTCTGCCTGTAGTCCGGATGGCTCATTCGGAGCCACCAAGAAATGCCAAGCATGCTTGTCACAGGCACAGTGTCCCTTTGAGATGCCAAGATAAACACTCACCCAGGGACACATGACCTACAGCGTCCCCATTGTCACAGCCGTGGGACAGAAGTGATGGCCTAGTTCTCTGTTAACAGACCGTGGCCTGGCAGGGCTCCAGGCGCTGTGTGGCCAGACCCACACCTCACTCTGCTCCCTGTGTCTCTGTTCCCAGTTCCAGGTCATCTCCTCTGTACCCCATGACAGCTGGGCTGCTCACACTGCTCCAATTTTCAGATTTTTTCTCCCCTCTGAAATGAATACAATGTGTTTCCAGATCTTAACCAGATCTTGAGAAAATAGCCAACGCCAGGGGATTGCTTTGGTGTTATGGTTGTACGGTTTCCCAGACTTTGAGAGAGACCTGCTTTGTGCTTTTCTGGCAATCACGTGGCCTGTTAAGTTTTCTGTAGACTTTCAAGTCTAAATTTAGGGAAGGTAGTGAAAGAGAGTGCAAGAATAGTTTTATGTCTGTGCTGTGCATGTTGCCCACCGTTAGCCTGGGGCAAGGTGAGCTGTGACAGTGTGAGCTGGGATAGGTTGCAGAGGCAGTAGCCCAGGGGGAAGACCCAACTGGACCCCCACTTGGGCCCCTCACTGAGAAATAAAAGTAACTACCAAAGGACCAAGAGGGTCCTGGACACTGGGCCCGAGTTTGCTATTCTAACCAACAATGGCCATTTCTTGCAGGTCTGTCTGGCTCTAACCTTTCCATGAGCAGCCCGGTATAAAGGGAAGAATCTGCAAAAATGAACTTTACTCTCTGTTCTTTAATTGTATGTTCATGATATAAAAGGAGAGGAACACCAAATCTCCTTGACTGTAGAAAGCTTAGCTACTCAGGAAGTATACAGGCTAGACAACAAATACTCAGAGCTATTTTGTTCATTGCTTCTGAGTCTTGAGCTGTCTGGGGCAGCAGTGTGTCCAGGTCTGCATCAGGCACCATCAGGATGACAGATCCAGCCTCTCCACCACCTCCTCCAAAGCACTGGCCACCATAGCAGAGACAGCAGAGATGAATGTGGAGAAACTGAGACAGGCAGATCAGAGTACCAGGGCAGCGGCAAGTATAGTCCTTCCCTAGAGCCCAGCGGGAGGCACAAGTCTCTGAGTCACACAGATGTTTCCGCGCAGGTCACGGGCCAGCATCCAGGGCTCCCATGGAGGGTGGGTGCACACGGTCTGGCCTCCCTGGACCTCACACTAGCTTGAGTGGGTTCCAAGAATTTGCATACTAAGCAAGTTTCCAAGCTGTGCTGACTCCACATCTTCCCAGGAAAAGCTGTAAGATGCCAGGAGAGTGAGGAGCCCCCCCGCCCCACCCCGAGGAGTGAACTGTGAGGGAGGAGAGGTGGAAGAGTGTAAGATAAAGACCCTTGGGAGGAGAAGTAGTTCAGGGCCAGCGATTCCCTTACATGGAGGCCAGGGGGAAGGTTAAGGCCGGAAATGTGACCCAGGGCTTTAGATATGTCCCTGTTCCTGTCACCTCTGACCCTGCTGGCCTGGCGGCTCACTAGCACTCTGCCACTCCTGCCAGAGTCCCAGAATCCAGGCTGCAGCCACCAAAGTGGACTAATGTAAAAGGAGCCTCTGAGCTTTCACTTTCAGCCCCTGTGATGTGTTTGCATGTGAATAAGAATCCCCTCCACTTTGTAATTTTTTTAAATATTTTTTTTTACTGAAATTAAGGCACTGTGATTTACATTGTTACTTATAGTTGAGTATCTTGGAACCCACTCTGAAAGCTAGTGTTCCAGTACCTTAGCACTAATGTTGTCTTCCCTCCACCAGTGTCCCCAGGCTCTTTCCCACTTGCAGCCTGCCTCTGTCAGGCACGTTTCTAAGTTTGGCTGTTGTACTTTGGATCTCATGCTTGCGGTATCATTGGCTCTGAATTTATATCTTATATCTATACATATGCCATATATGTACACGTATATACCTAAGACACATCTTTGCGCCACAGATGTGCTTGAGGCTGACCTCTCTGTTACCTCTCATCTGTCTTCATACTTTAATAGAGAAAAACTGGTGGGTGGAAATGGAGAATTGTCTAATTCTCAGGCAAACAGTACCCCTGTGCAAATAAGGTGAATAAAATCCTCTTTGTCAGCCAAGAAGATCAGAAGGGCTAGAACCAAGTCTGCTTCCGGGACCTCAGGAGATAAGACTCCGCGGGGAGGGAAGAAAATGGCGCCCTTTGCTGAGTGGTGAGGGTTTCCTGTCGAGAAAGGAATTGAAGCAGAACAGCCGGGGCCTTGTCTTCAGACAAGGGCAGCTGTCAGAGCCAATCACAGTGGGCTAGAGTCCCTGTGTCATTTCCAGGCTGGAACCTGCCCCACTGGCAGGATGTATGACCCCTGCCCTTCCCTTCTCCCCCAGCCCCAGCCGCCCATTCACCTAGTAGACTGCATCCTACTGTACATACTCCGCAATCTGGAGCAAATACTACCCACTTTCGTAGGTGGGTCTGCCCCACCCACCAGGGTCACCCTGCAGCCCTGCCCACCCACAGTCCTTGGGTGATTGTCTCTGTCCTGGTTGCAGATCACCCCTGAGAGTTGGCACTGGGAATCTGTGGTCCTCTTTTCCTTTTAAGTTGATCTTTTTATTTAGGGCAATATGAGAGGAGAGAGAGGGAGAAAATGAAGCACCTCGTGCTGGTGCCTCTGGAATGAGCACACCCTGGGGGGGAAGTCTGCACCACAGGTCATCCAGCACCAGGGCCAGCATCCCTGGGGTCTTGTATGGCATGAAACCCAGAGGGCCATCTCCAGAAATAGCCCAATATTCTTCACAGATATAGTAGTCATCAGGCAGGGCATCACCTCAGATGCTTTCCAGTCTGCCTTGGCATCCACAGACACAAGTTTTGAACCTTTGATAAGGTTTGAGTTTTGAGACCCAAATCACATTACATTCTGGCCTTTTCATTTGTGGGAGGGTTCAAAAAGAGCCTCCCTGATGCATCTGCTGCCCTTTTCCTACAGGAAGCCTATGTCATGGCCAGCGTGGACAACCCCCATGTGTGCCGTCTTCTGGGCATCTGCCTGACCTCCACTGTCCAGCTCATCACACAGCTCATGCCTTTCGGCTGCCTCCTAGACTATGTCCGTGAGCATAAGGACAATATTGGCTCCCAGCACCTGCTCAACTGGTGTGTCCAGATTGCAAAGGTAAGTTATGAGAGCGCTCGAGAGGCGGGACATGCAGTCACTCCCAGTGGAGCAAACTCTTTGATAGTGAGAGCGCTCAGATGGAAGCCTGAAGGAGGAAGAGGAAGCGAAAGCCAGCGATTGGAGCTTCCCAAGGGTGTGTGTGCAAATGCGTGTGTACATGCGCACAGCCTGCCCTTTGGATCACATTGAATTTGTCCTCTTTTGCAACAAATCTATGTCTGCCCCAGTCTCCACTGAAAATCTGCTCATTCAGCTGCATGTAGACAAAGGTTTTCTTCATTGGGACTCAGTGTGATGTGTTCTCTAAGTTTTTATTTTTCTGATATTCTTTTGTTGATGACCATGATGACTGTAGAAAAGGAAAAGTGGTTTAAGAAGGAGCAGCTAAACAAGAGGAAGTGGAAGGAGGCCCCATGGCAGGTGCTGTGTAGGTAGGGCGGGCTGGAGGGTTGATTGCTGAACAGAGATTATTTTGGCCTGGATGGTGTTCCTCACATTCCTATCAATAAGATGAATTTTAAGAGAGACAGAGGCTGGGTGAGCCCCTGCACACAAACAAGAATGGAGCAACCCCTGGCATTTAGCAGCTCATCCTCCTCAGGTAGAATTTCATACATCAGCTGAAGCTTGTCTTTATTGTACTCGCCGCTCAACTTGTGAAATTCTATCTTCCTCTGACAATAAATCTATTTTCCTCCATGGGATGTAACACATTAATGAGATGACATTATGACCCATCACGTCTCTCCTAATGGGGTAGGATTTTGGGGGCATTTCAGGGGCAAAGCCGGAAGGCAGGAGAGTCCACTCAGGCCCAGGTGTTCATTTCTCAGATTGCCCTTGGTTGACAGAAACATCAGCCCCAGCGGGTCACTCAGAATGATGCTTTGGCTGTGCTCCCTCGATGCTCAGCAGGTGTAGAAGGTGACTGTGAAGATGAACCCAGGCGGGCCACTGCTTGGCCAGTAGCTACCTGGGGCAAACAGAATAAGGCCACTGGGCATATTAGGTTTCCCTCCTATCATGATTTCTGAGCCAGAAAGTCAGCTTCCAAAAGGTAGCAAGTCATATTGTGTTCTGGGTCATCCAGCACAGTGTCTCTGTCACAGCAAGGGGGCTCCAGGTACCTGTGGAGGAGAAGCTTCCTCCCAACCCACCATAGTCTGCGGCCCTCACAGAGTCGCACCCTCATCACTCGGTAATGGTTCTGGGTCAGGGAGTATGGCCCCGACACCGTGGTTTCCTGAAAATGCTGCTGCTTCCTTATTTTTATCTTTGGGACAGTGCCAGAAGTCTGATTCGGGGCCTTGAATACATGAGGTTTGACCTCTGCTGCTGAGCTCCATTCCGGGCCTTTATACTTGTTATTTCAGTGTATGAGCATTTGTGTTTCCTGAGGTTGATATGACAAATCATGCAGACGTGATGACTTACTACCAAGGAAACATATTCTCACAGTTATTTAGATTATAACTACAAAATTGCGATGTGATAAGGGCTTCTTTGCCTGTCAAGGGCTGAGGGGAAGATCCCACCCTGTCTCTCCAGCCCTGGTGGGTCCAGGCATCTCATGGCTCTGGACACATCTCCTCACCTTCTGCCTCTGTCTTCACATGGCCTCCTTCCCATTTTGTCTGACTCCCTTTCCTTTGTCTCAGAAAACAACAGATCCATTAGCCATTACCTGAATCTGGGGTAATTTCTTCATTTCAAAGTCTTTAATAAATTAGGCTTGCAAAATCCTGCTTCAAATAAGGTCACTTTTTAAGCATTAGGTGGCATTAAGCGGAGAGGCCACTCCTCATCCATATATAGTACAGAAGGAATTGGTTGGCCCAGAGAAAGTGGAACTCAATACAGAACTATTCCTATGTCCTGTTGCCTGAACCCAGCAATTCTTTTTCAGCTTTCTTCCCTTATTTTCTGAAGCGGGAAATCAAACGTACAGCCCTCCCTTCTCAGGTGACATGTGTCCCATTTCCTTTTGTTCTTAGCACTTAGTGTTCCCTGGGAAATCTGGCCCCAGCCTGTTCACTTGAGTCCACCTCCACTTGCCCACATGGGAACAGACATACCAGCTCTGTGTCAGGCCAGGCTGCACCCTCCAATGCGGCTCCCTTGGCTGCACCACCCACCAACCTGTGAGGCCCATTCTCAGAGACACCTGGACATCCCCGTCCCTTCCCACCTCGCTCATGTCCCTTATTACTTTTTATGATAAGTCGATAACCTCAGGAAATCCTGTCCACACCAAGCAGTTTGCGATTCTGTGGATTCTAGATTAAACCTCAACTCTGGTGTTTATCACATGGCTTCAGGATATCTGCTTAGTCCTTTTGCTTCTCCCTTTTAGTGAAGAGTGTTTGCACCTGTTCACCTTAGTGCTGTCTGCTGCTATGACACATCTATCACAGGCTCCAGCACCTGCCTGCACACACCAAGGTTTCCCTTCCTCTGTTTCTCTCCCCAAACTGTGGCTAAACTGGATCTGAGTCAGGACTCACATCTGGCCTAAATCATGGCCTTAATCTAGTTCGGCAATCAGCAGTCATTTTCTTAGAGCAGCATTTCCTGTTCTTGGATCTTCTTTTGCTCACAAGCTTTCCTCCCAAGCTTTCCTCCTCTCTCCGGCACCACATGCATTCAAATCTGTGTGGCCCCACATGTCTGCATCAGTGAGTGCTCTTGGCCCTCACTCCCTTTGGGTCGCCTTCTCTTACTGTGATATGCAAGTTTCCCCTGCAAGGAACTCAGCTTGACTTGGACCCAGTCCAAGCATGAAGCAGCAGTTCCCAAGAGGAGCATCCAGCACCCAGAAGTTCTCTGAGCTAGCGCTTTGTGTAGCAGTGTCGGTCTGTTATTTCCATCCACTATGCTGTTGTTTGTCCTCGGTTAGCTTCCCTTCCAGAGACCTCCTCCCACACTGGCTGTGAGCTCTTTGCTAGTGATAGATTTATTTTCCATTCACAAGAGAAACCTTATTATGTTTTATTTGAACAGTTGCAGGGATGGAGTGTCTGTCCCCAGAGGGAAGAGAAAATAATAGTTCCCTCAATATGAAGAGAGAAATTTAATCTTGTGTTAGTGAATATTTATCTAACTATTAAACAGTTTTCTTTTTCAAAGTTTGAAGTGAAACTACCCAGAAACACTTAGTGGCTGACCAGAAACTAAACTCCTGGCATTTTCAAAGTGGAATTTATTGACTTATAAATGTCCTGTGTTGATTCAAAACAGCATGGACTATCTTGGGAAGTTTTCTAAATATTGAAGGAGAATTGTCCACTGTTCTGCATGTTTCTTGACCTTGATAAACTGCTAGAAGGACAAATAAAATTATATCACCCAAGCAAATGGGGAAGGACAAAATAGAGAAGCAGTCTCACTAGGACCATGATGAAATTTGGGAGAACAGCAAGTACTTATCCCCTTGCCTAAGGTGAAGGGGATTCTATTCTCCACAGTAGAAAAAAACAAACAACTCAGCCTGGAGTTTCCAGAGACATCATCTGCTTCCCAATGTGGAGGGGTCATAGTTTCCTAAGCTCCAGGCTGGAAGTCTGGGAGCCTCCTCACTTATGACTAATTTAGTTGCTTAAGACAGCATGAGCACTGTTTCTGGCTACATAAGGTGGTCAACAGACTCAAAATTATATTACCTGGAACAATAATACTATAAGATAAACTGATCCAAAAGATCCTATAATGATGTCAGTTTGAAAACACTGTCAGTTCCTGCTCTGAAGCTAGACCTTCCCAGCCCTGAAATTATGACTATCTAAACTGGGACTCGGCTCACATTCCATGCTGCAGGGACAACAGAGCTTTCTTAGAACATGACCCAGATGAATGTCTAACACAACTGAGATTCTAAGCATTTAGGCAAATTCTTGAGACCAGGGACCAGGGAAGATCCACCATATGGCTGTCGGGAATAAAGAAGCTTACAAAACTAAGTGAATGTATGGACACCACTCTCTGATCATTACTTCATAAGAAGCAAACCAAGGAGAGACGCCAAAATGTTTCCAACCAGAAAGATCTAGTCTCCCTGTATATGCAATGCTAGCTTTGGTGCAAGTTCATTTTGAAAATTCTGGGGGACAGAAGAGTCAGTGGCAGCAGGCTTAAGCGAACAAATCCATTAGTTATTCAATATTTTAGTTATTTGGAGATTTTTTCACTTTCACTGTTTCACAAAAGATTATAGTCAAGCAAATCAGAAGTTTCCAAACATTTGGAATAAACTTTATCCCAAATAAAGTTCCCCAACATATTCCCAAACTTAATCCCTTCCCCTTCTCAGAAAGAAGAAAATAAAAGACAGAGTCCTTCAGGAAACCTATCTCCTTAAAGATAACAGAAAGTATAATTGTACTTACGGCTCCCACCACCCTCAGAGGGCGGTTTGAAAAACCGTTCAGGAAATACTGATCTAAATGAACCCTTACAGTATGTCATTTAAAAGCCAAATTTGCTGAACTATTAAGCATATTTATTACTCTTAAACATTTCACCAAATTATTTCTTGAGCTTTTATATACTGGTATTATTTAGCAGGTAAAATATATATCTATAATCTATATCTGTGTGTGTGTGACCAAATGGGGGATGGGGGGTGCATTAGACGGTTTTGATTTGGTGGCCATACCTAGCAGTCCTCTAGGCTTTGTGCTTGCTGATGGCAGTGTTTGTGGGGGATTGAAGAAGGCAAGTGCCTCACTAGGTCCAAGGTCAAAATTGTGTATCCCAAACTTGGCTTCAGCTAAGGAAAGTGGATTGATGTGGAGCTAACAGTGCAGAAACAATGTCATAGTCAGAAACTGAGAGGGACTCTGAAGAGAACAGGACACCCAAGGATTCTGGGGAGGAAGAGCTGGTCCTCCCTGAGCCAGGGGCTCAGTGCACCCATCGGTCAGGAGTGAGATATCACCCAGCACCCCAAGAGTTCTGGGGAGTGGCAAACAAAGAGGTTCTCAGTTTCCGCACAGTTTCTG